CACCTTGTGTGGTATAAGGAGGGAGAGCGGAGCTGTGCCACCTTGTGTGGTATAAGGAGGGAGAGCGGAGCTGTGCCACCTTGTGTGGTATAAGGAGGGAGAGCGGAGCTGTGCCACCTTGTGTGGTATAAGGAGGGAGAGCGGAGCTGTGCCACCTTGTGTGGTATAAGGAGGGAGAGCGGAGCTGTGCCACCTTGTGTGGTATAAGGAGGGAGAGCGGAGCTGTGCCACCTTGTGTGGTATAAGGAGGGAGAGCGGAGCTGTGCCACCTTGTGTGGTATAAGGAGGGAGAGCGGAGCTGTGCCACCTTGTGTGGTATAAGGAGGGAGAGCGGAGCTGTGCCACCTTGTGTGGTATAAGGAGGGAGAGCGGAGCTGTGCCACCTTGTGTGGTATAAGGAGGGAGAGCGGAGCTGTGCCACCTTGTGTGGTATAAGGAGGGAGAGCGGAGCTGTGCCACCTTGTGTGGTATAAGGAGGGAGAGCGGAGCTGTGCCACCTTGTGTGGTATAAGGAGGGAGAGCGGAGCTGTGCCACCTTGTGTGGTATAAGGAGGGAGAGCGGAGCTGTGCCACCTTGTGTGGTATAAGGAGGGAGAGCGGAGCTGTGCCACCTTGTGTGGTATAAGGAGGGAGAGCGGAGCTGTGCCACCTTGTGTGGTATAAGGAGGGAGAGCGGAGCTGTGCCACCTTGTGTGGTATAAGGAGGGAGAGCGGAGCTGTGCCACCTTGTGTGGTATAAGGAGGGAGAGCGGAGCTGTGCCACCTTGTGTGGTATAAGGAGGGAGAGCGGAGCTGTGCCACCTTGTGTGGTATAAGGAGGGAGAGCGGAGCTGTGCCACCTTGTGTGGTATAAGGAGGGAGAGCGGAGCTGTGCCACCTTGTGTGGTATAAGGAGGGAGAGCGGAGCTGTGCCACCTTGTGTGGTATAAGGAGGGAGAGCGGAGCTGTGCCACCTTGTGTGGTATAAGGAGGGAGAGCGGAGCTGTGCCACCTTGTGTGGTATAAGGAGGGAGAGCGGAGCTGTGCCACCTTGTGTGGTATAAGGAGGGAGAGCGGAGCTGTGCCACCTTGTGTGGTATAAGGAGGGAGAGCGGAGCTGTGCCACCTTGTGTGGTATAAGGAGGGAGAGCGGAGCTGTGCCACCTTGTGTGGTATAAGGAGGGAGAGCGGAGCTGTGCCACCTTGTGTGGTATAAGGAGGGAGAGCGGAGCTGTGCCACCTTGTGTGGTATAAGGAGGGAGAGCGGAGCTGTGCCACCTTGTGTGGTATAAGGAGGGAGAGCGGAGCTGTGCCACCTTGTGTGGTATAAGGAGGGAGAGCGGAGCTGTGCCACCTTGTGTGGTATAAGGAGGGAGAGCGGAGCTGTGCCACCTTGTGTGGTATAAGGAGGGAGAGCGGAGCTGTGCCACCTTGTGTGGTATAAGGAGGGAGAGCGGAGCTGTGCCACCTTGTGTGGTATAAGGAGGGAGAGCGGAGCTGTGCCACCTTGTGTGGTATAAGGAGGGAGAGCGGAGCTGTGCCACCTTGTGTGGTATAAGGAGGGAGAGCGGAGCTGTGCCACCTTGTGTGGTATAAGGAGGGAGAGCGGAGCTGTGCCACCTTGTGTGGTATAAGGAGGGAGAGCGGAGCTGTGCCACCTTGTGTGGTATAAGGAGGGAGAGCGGAGCTGTGCCACCTTGTGTGGTATAAGGAGGGAGAGCGGAGCTGTGCCACCTTGTGTGGTATAAGGAGGGAGAGCGGAGCTGTGCCACCTTGTGTGGTATAAGGAGGGAGAGCGGAGCTGTGCCACCTTGTGTGGTATAAGGAGGGAGAGCGGAGCTGTGCCACCTTGTGTGGTATAAGGAGGGAGAGCGGAGCTGTGCCACCTTGTGTGGTATAAGGAGGGAGAGCGGAGCTGTGCCACCTTGTGTGGTATAAGGAGGGAGAGCGGAGCTGTGCCACCTTGTGTGGTATAAGGAGGGAGAGCGGAGCTGTGCCACCTTGTGTGGTATAAGGAGGGAGAGCGGAGCTGTGCCACCTTGTGTGGTATAAGGAGGGAGAGCGGAGCTGTGCCACCTTGTGTGGTATAAGGAGGGAGAGCGGAGCTGTGCCACCTTGTGTGGTATAAGGAGGGAGAGCGGAGCTGTGCCACCTTGTGTGGTATAAGGAGGGAGAGCGGAGCTGTGCCACCTTGTGTGGTATAAGGAGGGAGAGCGGAGCTGTGCCACCTTGTGTGGTATAAGGAGGGAGAGCGGAGCTGTGCCACCTTGTGTGGTATAAGGAGGGAGAGCGGAGCTGTGCCACCTTGTGTGGTATAAGGAGGGAGAGCGGAGCTGTGCCACCTTGTGTGGTATAAGGAGGGAGAGCGGAGCTGTGCCACCTTGTGTGGTATAAGGAGGGAGAGCGGAGCTGTGCCACCTTGTGTGGTATAAGGAGGGAGAGCGGAGCTGTGCCACCTTGTGTGGTATAAGGAGGGAGAGCGGAGCTGTGCCACCTTGTGTGGTATAAGGAGGGAGAGCGGAGCTGTGCCACCTTGTGTGGTATAAGGAGGGAGAGCGGAGCTGTGCCACCTTGTGTGGTATAAGGAGGGAGAGCGGAGCTGTGCCACCTTGTGTGGTATAAGGAGGGAGAGCGGAGCTGTGCCACCTTGTGTGGTATAAGGAGGGAGAGCGGAGCTGTGCCACCTTGTGTGGTATAAGGAGGGAGAGCGGAGCTGTGCCACCTTGTGTGGTATAAGGAGGGAGAGCGGAGCTGTGCCACCTTGTGTGGTATAAGGAGGGAGAGCGGAGCTGTGCCACCTTGTGTGGTATAAGGAGGGAGAGCGGAGCTGTGCCACCTTGTGTGGTATAAGGAGGGAGAGCGGAGCTGTGCCACCTTGTGTGGTATAAGGAGGGAGAGCGGAGCTGTGCCACCTTGTGTGGTATAAGGAGGGAGAGCGGAGCTGTGCCACCTTGTGTGGTATAAGGAGGGAGAGCGGAGCTGTGCCACCTTGTGTGGTATAAGGAGGGAGAGCGGAGCTGTGCCACCTTGTGTGGTATAAGGAGGGAGAGCGGAGCTGTGCCACCTTGTGTGGTATAAGGAGGGAGAGCGGAGCTGTGCCACCTTGTGTGGTATAAGGAGGGAGAGCGGAGCTGTGCCACCTTGTGTGGTATAAGGAGGGAGAGCGGAGCTGTGCCACCTTGTGTGGTATAAGGAGGGAGAGCGGAGCTGTGCCACCTTGTGTGGTATAAGGAGGGAGAGCGGAGCTGTGCCACCTTGTGTGGTATAAGGAGGGAGAGCGGAGCTGTGCCACCTTGTGTGGTATAAGGAGGGAGAGCGGAGCTGTGCCACCTTGTGTGGTATAAGGAGGGAGAGCGGAGCTGTGCCACCTTGTGTGGTATAAGGAGGGAGAGCGGAGCTGTGCCACCTTGTGTGGTATAAGGAGGGAGAGCGGAGCTGTGCCACCTTGTGTGGTATAAGGAGGGAGAGCGGAGCTGTGCCACCTTGTGTGGTATAAGGAGGGAGAGCGGAGCTGTGCCACCTTGTGTGGTATAAGGAGGGAGAGCGGAGCTGTGCCACCTTGTGTGGTATAAGGAGGGAGAGCGGAGCTGTGCCGCATTGTGTGGTATGAGGAGTGAGAGCGGAGCTGTGCCGCACTGTGCCGCGGTTCGGTGGAGCATTGGATGGATTATGGGATTACATTTGGGATGACTTCCTGTCACAATGATTGTGTATATTATGGAAATGATGAGTGACAATAGAAATGTGTTGCCGCGGTGATAACGTTTTATTAGCTTTAGTGATTGTAGCGCAGTGATTGTAGCGTGTAGCGCAGTGATTGTAGCGTGTAGCGCAGTGATTGTAGCGTGTAGCGCAGTGATTGTAGCGCAGTGATTGTAGCGTGTAGCGCAGTGATTGTAGCGCAGTGATTGTAGCGTGTGTGGCCATCGCATGGGATGGACGTCATGCTGTTCTGGGCTCTCCGGCATGATAGGTGATTCATGTGATCGGCGGCGCTGTCTGCGCCACATCCCGGATGTCTCCGGAGTCATATGGGAAGTGGCGCTGGATTGGTCCCCTGGCTGCAGTAACGGGAGCAGAGGAGGGAAGCGTAACATTTATACTCAGATTGTTACTACGCGAGATTGGTTGCCGGGCTCATCCTTCACTCATGTGTGGCAGCCGGCGTTACCACAGGGCGCCCCTCCTATCAGTCTCTCACACCGACCTTATATAACGCAGGTAGTTGTGGGCTAGTTGAGGCTCGTTAGGGCTACTGAGCTTCACACATCTCATTGTGCGTTCCACCTGCAAAGTATCAGCAACAGATCACATGACAATGTATACAGATATGACCAAGCGGACCCGCCGGGCGCTGCGGCAGTCCGAACATACACCGGCAGGGGCCGGAATCGCACTTTGTGTGACATCATTGCGTGTTTTGTATAGTGTGCGATACGACGACACCGCCATGGATCCGTGTAAAGAAGCAGATGCATTTAGAGGTCCATTGTGGTGCGTTGGCAGCCCAATCTTAGCCGCATGATAACACGACGCACAGCATTAGAACATGCCGGCAGGAAGACTCCGCAATGGTCTGCGGCCCGGCCAGGTTGGTATAATCTCCGGGACTGCAGCCATCTCTTACGCAGGGAACTCTCTGGATTCTGGGGAGGTCCTTCCATAGACAACCTCAACGGGGTCATAAGACGTGACGGGGTCATAAGACGTGACGGTGTCAGAAGACGTGACGGGGTCAGAAGACGTGACGGGGTCATAAGACGTGACGGGGTCATAAGACGTGACGGGGTCATAAGACGTGACGGGGTCATAAGACGTGTCTCTGTAAGAATCAGGTACAGAAAATCGTCCGCTCATCTGCAAGGCGTCCAGCGAGTTCTTTTCCTGTCGTGAGCTGACAACGCTGCCTCTACCACACTGAAATGCTAAGAAGTGTTGTCAGTCCTGCTCAGTTCTTCATTACTGGACT